TACCTTTCTTGTAAGAGAGGTATTAAAAAAAGTCGATCTCACCATCTTTTTTATCTTGTAAAGTATGTCCTCGGTAGAGGAAATCTTGATTTTGTTGAAGAGGGTAAGCTCAAATTAATAAAAGGACTAATATTCTTAACACCTTCTCATATTGATATATACATATAATTGGATTCTTTTTTTTTAAAGAAACTATGTCTAATATGAAAAATCTTAAGCAATTTTTTTGAAAGGTATGGTCAAGTTTATAGGAAGATTCTTAATTTATGAAATCTACCATTTACATTGGTTCCATCAATGTTAGAAAACATTAATTAATTTTTAAAATTTTATACTTCACTATTGGCACTACTCCTTTCATTTATCTAAGGATTTCGATTTTTAAGGGTAACTACAAAGTTAGTTAGTTATCTACAAGACTTTGATAACCAAATTAAATGCCAATTCGCTTATTGGAAGACTTTTCTTATTGAATTAAATAAGTATTCTAATTGGTTATAGGTGTGATGGACAACATGTTTATTTATACCTTTAACACATGCATTTGACCTAATTCCTTAATCAAAGAGGTGGACAAGTGGATTAGAAATTTCATTTGGTTACGGATCTTGGGAAGAAAAAACTAGAGATAGTTTCTTGGCATAAAGTTTTCTATCTTGTAGAAGAAGGAAGTTTTGGTCTTATAAGAGATATCAGTGAAGCTAGTATTCACAAGCTAATATGGAATTACAAGACCTTCAAGGGGAATTGGATCGATTTCTCTATGGTCGGAACTATGAAAAAAATAAGGTTATATTAGATACTACAATGATTCCTCTATTTGGTTAAATATAAAATCTAAATTATACTTGATTGATTTAAATATAAGGTGGGTAAATTTATCAATTTTTGGACTAACAAATGTTTGCGGGAACCCTTGAACAATATGTTGCAAATTGACCATATGAGTCATGATCAACTACTGGCTAGTGTTAATCATTTGATTCATTGTATTTGGGAAACATCCTCTTCCGAAAATTTTAGTTTCAAATATGGTTATTGGTTATACAAACCTAATGTTATCCAAGTGCCTTGGGCTAAAACTATTTGGCATCCTAATAACTCATTATCCAAATCTCTTATGTTTTGGAGACTTTCCTTAAGTAAATTTCATAATGATGATAATGTTGGACGAGAATATGGAGATGAGATGGTCTAGAAAGGGAGTTGAATAAATGTGTCCTCTTTTAGAACTATTTCAAAAACAATTACTTTTATTAAATAAGAGTTAATAGTGCTGAAGTGAAATGTACTAAGCGGAAGCAAAAACGTAACGGGAGAATTTGAAAACTATATGTTTCCTTATTATCATAGGAATAAGGATTCAATTAATATCATCAACACTATGGAAATTGAATTTTCTTTGACAAGCAATTTAAATCCAACGACTTAGAGACAGTACAATCTTAATTCAAGGGGTGAATGTTCAACGAACTAAATGCATCAAACACGTATACTTATATGATAAAACACTATAAGAAAGAATTGATGCTAGATGACATTCCAATTATTAACAATACCTAACATACATTACAATATGCATAAAATTATAAGATATAAGGAGAGAAAATGTACTCCAAATATATAGTGGTTCGACAATTCGTCCCCGCTATGCCTACTCCACTCTTTGATGATTTTCACCATCAGAAATGGTAACATATTTAACCAACATGGATATAAAATAATAATTACTTTTGTTGATGCATATTACTCAACTGCTAATATTCAGGATCCTCAATGATCTTGATCCAACAAACTTAATAGCCACAATAATCCTATTCCAAGTTTCATTTATGCAACACCTTTTACTTGAATCCGACGAAGACTTTCTTGAGCAATTGTTCTACCAACGAATGAGGACAACTCCAAACTTTTTTCAACAAAAGCCTTTAATCGGATCCACCAAAGTCTTTTTTGGAGTACGGAGAAAAATTCTTCTCTTGTTTAATAAACACCAATCAACAATGTGAATAAGAAATGATCTTTTATCATGATATAAACATCAAAATTTCACACAAAAACTTTAGATTCTCTAATATACCTTAATTTACATCTGACACTCAATATTTATAGTTTAGCACTACAACAATGGTTTATTGGTATAATGTTGAAGATGATGAATAGTATTTAAATGATCCCACGCAACATAACTACAAACTTCTCACACTCTTAATATTCTAGAATGTTTTTCATAAGCTTGAATTATGGAGATAGTGTGCTTGTGATGATTTCTTTCAAGGTTCTTGACAAAGAAAGTTTAGATTCTTGATGAATTTTATAGGTTCTCAAAATAGAAAAATTCAACTGACTAATAAAAGAATTTCTCTTTTTTTGAGATCACTTGATGTTACTTGACATAAGTTTTCTCATATTTTTCATCACTTTATCATCACTTGAAAAGGGACAAACAAAAAGGTTTAAATAGGTTCTAGAGATAAGGCACAAAAATAAGGAAAAATAACAATGTGATTCGAGTCAAGTCTTAAGTTTGTGATTTGAATCAAAGAAATAATGAGTTGAATTAAAGGTAGTAAAATGAAAAGTTTGTTATTTGTGATTTGAATCATGCATCGATGTGTGATTCGAGTTAGACAGAGTGTGATTAGAATCACACTTATTTTTAAAGAAAATTCAATGAGCATGATTTAAATCAGCATCCATGTGATTCGAGTCAAGAAGTACAATGATTCAAATCACATATTTCTCTTATTTGAATCGGATTGGCAAGGACAAATTTTCCACTCCCAGTCAATTGTTTGATTCAAATCACAAATTGTATGATTTAAATTAGCCTTGCAAAAATATTGACTTAAGACTTCTAATTTGCGATTCAAGTAGCACTCAATATTTTGACTTATATCAAACAACAAAAGGCTAAAATGCATTTTAATGGATCCAATTCTAATAGAATAAATGTATAGGTATCTTAAAGTTACATGTCTAACAAATGAAGGATAAGATTTCAAACAAACTACAAACGAATTATACAAATGTGATCATTTAAATTACATACATGCAAAGATCAAAAAATTGATAGAACATTAAAATAAATGATATTGAATGCAATGCAATTTTAATCTCTTTCTTTTTTGATATTTGGAGAATTTGAGATATTACTTATACATACATGGAACGATTGATTCTTGAACTCTGAAGCTCCCCATGTATTAAACACTTAATACTTGTAAATATAACGATAATATCTCACAAACATTCTCTCCCTTTGACAAATATAAAAAAGAGATAAAGGCGCGTGCGCATATATATATATATATATATATATATATATATATATATATATATATATATATATATATATATATATATATATATATATATATATATATATATATATATATATATATATATATATATATATATATATATATATATATATATATATATATATATATGAACCTAAAACAACATATAAGCCCAAACAAAATGCCACATGATATCTAACCAATTTAAAAATATAGAATCACATTCAAGCACATATAGATACAAGCAACACAGTTGTAGAAAATATTACAAGATACGAGAGAATATAGCAAATGATATCATAGATAAACATCAACATGATCAAAATAATAGAATTCCAAAATATAATAGAGAGAGGAGAGCGAACAGAGCGAGGAGAGGGAGGGCATAATGAGGTTGGGAATGGTGAAGGGTGTAAACAGATGGTGAACAAGAAGAGATGATCAGGGGAGAACAATGTTGTTATTTGGGACTCAAAGAAGGGTAAGGGTAGGAACTATGATGAAACAATATCTATTTTCTTCTTTATGGAATTTCTGGAAACATTTAAAGCAAGAGATTGTTTGAAGTCTTTAAAGAATATGGATTGGTGGTGGAGGTGGTTATTTCACCAAAGAGAGACAAGCGGGGAAGAGATATGGGTTTGCGAGATTTAGAAAAGTGGTGGATGAAAATATTCTAGCTATGAAGTTAGAAAATATATTTATCAGATCTAAGAAGCTGCATGCTAATGTTCCTAGCTTCCAACGACCTAGGCAACCAAACATGAAGATGATGAGGCTGCGGTGCAATAATCCCATTGATTACAGCAAAAGATTGGGAAATGGTGTTAAAAGGGTGGTTGATCAAGAAAAGAGGAAGGTACTAACAAATCTTATGCACAAGTATTAGGAAGGAGAAGGGAGTGGTGCAATGGAGAGGTGGAGGAGGGACGCAGGAGTTATCCAAGAAGGAATGTGGATGAAAAAACCAGAATGAAAAGGCAGTATGGTGTTGGTGGTATTGAGCATAAGCCAAAATCTGATCATTTACAGTACAACATTGAACAATCCAAAAGAATGATGGAGAAGATAGTTCATTAAATGTGATTCCTAACAATAGTTTAAAAGACGGAAAGGTTATTTCAAAGTCAAAACTGATAGTGAACAATCCAAAAGAAACTAGTGACTTTCCTCTGTTACTATGTAACCATGGTGTTAGGGACCCACCTTCTTTTTGTTTGGACCCTATATCATGCTCACCAAAAGGGCCTTGTAATAATATTGGGCCTGGCCCATCTGGTGGCGTGAAAGGAAGAAGAAGAAAAATCATTGGTGCAATTTTTGAGTCCCTTCGGCCCATGCGGCCCCATCGTATTTCAATGTCCTTTTACCTCATAGAAGGAACTTGTGTAGCTTTTCTACCCCAAATATAAACCCTAATTCACAGGACTTGGATACCATTTCAGAGGAACAAGGATCAAGATGCTTTGGATTGAGTCTAGGTGGAAGTTCTATTAATGATTTTGATGTCCAATAAGGGAATTTAAGATATCGAAAGGATGTTTACGACAACCTTCCAGTGAAAGTGTGGAAATCAATTAAGGAACTGGGAATAAAAGGGGATGAGGATGATAAGGCGTTTGAAGGAATTATTCGTAGTATGGAAGCAAGGGATAGGTTGAACGATAGCGTATTGTTGGGGAAAAACAATGGTGATAAATGGATATTGGAACCTTCAATATTCGTGGGTATGGCCATTCTCTTAAAAGAAGAAAAATCAGTCAAATTGTTGCAAAAAAAAGAATTGAATTGTGTTTCTACCAAAAATAAAAAATGCAAAACACGAAGGAGGAAATGATTTTCAGCTTATCGGGATCTTCTGATTGTGAATGGTCTGCGAAGGAATCTGAAGTCCGGTCTGGAGGAATTATTACGACCTGGAAGAAAGGAATCATTGAACTTGTATTTAGCTTCATGGGAAAAGGATATTTGGGTATGAAAGAAATGTGGAAAGGTACCAATATTTACTTCATCAATATTTATTCTCCTTGCACTTTAAATGAGAAAAGAGTTTCGTGGATGAAATTATTAAATCTGAGGAACAAGTATACTCATGGGGAGTGGGTTCTATGGGGATATTTTAACGCATCAAAATCTTTGGAGGAAAGGTGGGGGCGGAGTGGTGATATTAGGACTTTGGAGATGGAGGACTTTTGTAGTTTTATTGACTTAATGGAGTTAATTGATGTACCGATGCTAGAGAATAAACATACTTTGATTAATTCTAATGGTTCTACAAGCAGCATGTTAGATAGGTTCTTGATGTCGGAGGGTTTGATTCAGAAATGGAACATTGCAGCTCGAACTTCTGGAAATCGTGACATCTCTGATCACAGGCCTGTGTGGATTTTGTCAACCAATCTGAACTGGGGACCTAAACCTTTCAAGGTTTTTAGGACATGGTATGATCATCCTGAGTTTATGGCTTTTGGTAAGAAAGAATAGGAATCATTTCAGATCAGAGGCAAGAAATATTATGTCCTCAAAGAAAAGTTCAAGAGGTTGCGTGAGAGATTGCGCTGGTGGAACACAAATTTGTTTAGTTGGATTGATTTAAAAGTTGAGGGGTGTGGAGGTGTTGAATGGTTTAGAATTAGACATGTTGAATATAAGAGATTTGTTATTTGTTGAACTTCAAGAGAGTTGAAAAGAGCTGACTGAATCTATTTGGAATAAACTTCACTTGAAAGAAAGTCTGATTAAACAGAAATCAAGGCTAAGATAGATGCAAGATTGGGATTTAAACTCATAATTCTTCCATTCAACAATGAAAGCGAGGTTTAGAAATAATGCAATTATATTAATTCAGATGAGTGATGGGGTGATTGATAATGTATATGACGTAAAATTAGCATTTAAAAATCACTTTGCAAGTAGATTTAAGGAGCTGGTGGAACGGCGCCCGAATCTTGATAGACTGGATTTCAAAATTTTATCAAGTGAGGATAGTGAAGAACTTGAAGATTTGTTCTCAAAGGAGGAAATTGAAGAAGTAATTTTTTATTTTCATGGGGATAGAAGTCCTGGCCCCGACGGTTTTAATCTGGAGTTTATTAAGAAATGTTGGAGTGTGGTTGGAAAAGATTGTATTGAGTTTATCCAAGAGTTTCATAATATTTCTAAGTTGCCAAAAGATATGACCTCTTCTTTTCTTGCGCTGATTCCTAAGGTTGAAAATCCATAAGGCTTGGATGAATACCGTCCAATTTGTTTGATTGGGTGTATGTATAAAGTTATTTCGAAACTTCTTGCTTCAAGACTTAGAAGATTAATTGGGAAGATTATATCCACCAACCAAACAAAATTTATTTCGGGAAGACAAATCTTGGATGTGTTTTAGTGACAAACGAGGTTATTGATTATGCAAATAGAGAAAAGAAAAATTGTTTGCTATTTAAGGTAGACTTCGCTCAAGCTTATGATTGTGTAGATTGGAACTATCTAAGAGGGATATTGAAGAAATTAGGTTTTGATCAATGGTGGATGAGATGGTTAGAAGCGAGAATTTTTACAAGCAATATGTCGATTCTCGTAAACAGAAGTCCAACAGGGGAGTTTTCAGTGAAACGTGGGTTGAGGAAAGGGGATCCCCTATCCCCTTATCTCTTTGCTATTGTGGCTGAAGGTATGGCTAGAATTTTAAATAAGGCAATTGATGTTGGTTCTTTTAATGAGTTTAGGGTGAAGAAGGATGTTGCATTCAATCTAATGCAGTTTGCGGATGGTACAATAATAGTGGGGGAAGGAACATGGTCTAATTTTTGGGTGCTAAAGGAAATTTTACACGGGTTTGAAATGGTGCCTGGTTTACAGATTAACATGTGCAAAAGTAAAGTCTATGGCATTAGCATGGATGGACATTTTTTGTTAGCAGCTGCCCAATTTCTTTCTTGTAGGATTGATCAAATACCCTTTAAGTTTCTTGGAATTATGGTAGGAGGGAATCACAGAAGGCTGGACTTTTGGAAACCAACTGTGAATGGTCTAAAAGCAAAATTATCTTCATGGAAGGGTAGATTGCTTTCAATGGGGGGCGTGTGACTTTGATTAATTTTGTTCTTTCTAATTTACCGCTCTACTACTTTTCCTTTTTCAAAGTCCCAGCTCAGATCATCCATGAAATTACATGAAACCAAAGGAATTTTGTATGGAATGATTCTGTAGAAAAATGTGGCATAGCTTGGCAAAATTGGAAATCTATTTATAGGTTCAAGGATGAAGGAGGGCTTGGAATTAAAGACGGTGCTTGTTTTAATCAATTACTGATGTGTAAATGGTTATGGAGAATTTATGTTGATCACGAGGCTATCTGGGCGAAACTACTGCAATAGAGATATGGTGATATTGTATACATGATTTAGAGTAATGTTGAAACAATGTCGAAGTCCAAAGAATCGCTCTGGTAGCGTGATCTAATGTCAAATAAGGGGTCTGATAGTAAACATGGGTTCACTCAAATGGCATCATGGCGGATGGGAGAAGGAACAACTATTTCTTTTTGGAATTCAAATTGGATGGGTAGTTCAAAATTATGTAACCTCTTCCCAAATCTGTATGGTATAGTTGACTGCTGGTATTCGGTTGTTCCAAACAATGGAAGTTGGAATGGAAACTGATGGAATTGGAATATTGCTTGGAACTTAGATGTCCATAATATCGTGTTAATAACTGAAGCAAGGGAGTTGGAATCTTTGTTGTTGGAGATTAAACTGACTCGTCACATCGAATATCGTTTAACTTTTGTAGAGGAGAAGATTTGTGTATTATGTAATGAGAAGTTTGAAGATATTGATCATATTATGCTTAGTTGCGTGATTTCACTTCGAATTTGGCAACTTATCTTTTATTGGTTAAATATTGATGGGATGAATTTTATCACTAACTATTGTTGCAATCACTTTCTGAATGTCTATTTTTGTCAGAAGGGAAAAGTGTCGCATGGTAGAGAGGGAGCTATATGGTTGGCTACAACTTGGTGCTTATGGAAGGCAAGAAATGGCATTATTTACAACAATGGGGAAGGATATGTGGAAGACATTTTTATTAAAATTAAGATGTTCTCTTGGTGGTGGCTTCAAATTGGAGCGAACCAATTGAATTGTAACTTCTATGAGTGGTGTAAATACCCTATAGACTATCTTTTAGCTAGTTTCTGAATATGTTGTTGTGTTTGGGTTTTGAGTACCTCTATTACTCTCTTTGAAATGCATCGTTGCTTATCTAAAAAAAAATAATAACAGAACCACGCCATGCAAAATATTACCCAAAATACGTAAAAAACTCATAATATCCAAAATATCATAGGAAGGTGTTTAGAGAGACATAAATAAAAGAAATAGAAATAATTCAAACAATGGTATGATATGCATGATCAAATATGGCAGGTTTTATGGGAAAGGATCAACATCAGGCTCAAAATTAAGGTCAAAGACAAACCTTGAACCCTTAAGAGCAACAATGGCTTCCTTGATGCTTCTAACTAAGGTTACCATCAGATCTTCCTTGCTCTTGCTTCAGCATAAAAAAAAATAAGAAACCACACGATCCTCACTGTTCTGAGTAGAAGTTTGAATCCAATCCACACTTGCATCCAAGTAGGCCTTCACTACTGAAGGCAAAACATCTGTGAAGAGAGGTGGAGCAGATGAGCTTGATTGAGCAAAGACCCGTCTTGGAACATTACTTGCAGGGGCATTTTCATTTGCAACGAACTTGTCATCATAAATTTGGCCATGGACATCCATATAGTATCAACTATGATTGTCCTTATAATATTTCATCAACTTCACAATACTAGAATCAAAGACCTTTGGAGCTTAAAGCATGTCTTCTTTCATCTGACGAACATTGTGCAAATTCAAGAGGTACTGAACAAAAGATGCGTAGAGTAGTGGATGCCTTCGAGTAGAATGCAAAATGTTTATCTGATCCAATATAAACTTAACTCAATAGACTTCCTTTTATGTAAGTAGAAGCCACATCACATAAAGATCCAACTCGTAAACTCTTTCCCAAGTCTTTGGTTTTGTGTAGAAAATTTTTACAACGACCAAATGTAACATCTGCATGTTACACTTCATTTGACTTATTTGAAAGTTTGCAGTGTCAAGATGATTCATGTGAAAAGTTTTTGAAATCATTTTGACAAACAAAGTACGGTTGAAACTGAGAGCATTCGACAGACAAACCTTTATACCTTTGTTTTCCAAACCAAAGTGAGTCTTAAAATCTCCAAAATGAATTTAATAATCTTGCCACGGAATTTAATTTCAATTCCAAAATTGGTTTTCTCTAGACAATAGTAGAAAACTTTCACATGATTAGGGTTATACTTTCTATGAAGGCCAGAAAAATTTCATCAAATTATGGTTCTCCATGGGTTGCAAAAAATAAATATTTATTTTACTTTTAGCAGCCTTTTCCACATAATACTCTGCTTCAATAGGCTTGTTGAGGAAATACTCAGTGTAGGGCTTGAAATGATGTCCAACAATCAGATGATTAACTTTTAGACATAATGCCTGTAGTTGTTTAGTTATTGGCATGCATTTTTGGTAAAACCGGGTGTGTGAATGTCATGACTGATGTCATAACATTCTAGTTTATTAGGTACTGATTTATTAGGTACCTTTGCAGAAAAATATTGTCATACAGGTGCTGCTGTTTATGAGTGTGTATCTGAGCATTTTGCAAAAAGATCACATTTACCAAAATCAATAGACAGGAATTCAGATGTCATAACAAATGTTAAGACATCCTGTTCTGAACTAACAGTTATGCAGTTTGAGTAATTCTGAGTTTTTTCAGGAAAATGACTCAGTCTTTCTAGAACAGAAAATCTCGTGGACTTGGGGTTAATCTAGCTCAACCCTAACCTGGTTGATAAATTCCTGTGACCAAGTCTTAAGGTCAAACGGAATTAACCCTAGCTTTTTGTGGAAACCCTAACTGAAGATGCAGCTGCTATATATTCAACAGGGCTGCTGTTTGGAATTTATCCCCTTTTTGACAGAAGATCATTTAGAAGTTGTATAGTTTTAACTATTGTAATCCAAGCAAGTATCATTGTGATAAGTGACTTGGAATAGGTTTTAATTGTAAGGGTTGTGTATCACTCAAAGCTTTGAAGCAAGAGTGTTTTTGTGTCTCTTGACTAAAGCTTTGAAGCAAAGTCAAGTTAGGTTTATGTATCACTCAAAGCTGTGAAGCAAGAGTGTTTGTGTTGCTTGATTAAAAAGCTGTGAAGCATAATCAAGTGTATGTTTTGAAGAGTGTCTTCATCAATTCATTAGTCAATTGTTTTAAGTATCACTGCTGTGATTGAGGGGGAGTGAGTAGGAACTCAGGTTTAAGTTGTACTTAGATTAAAGTTGCATTGGGTAGGTCTTAAGTGAAGGAGATAAACTGGTTGGTTTATTCCTGAATTAATATCTCTTATAGTGGAT